CAGCATAAAACCAATTACTGTGGGCCCTTACATGACATGTTCAAACTACGCATTTTTAGGATTTATTGAGCAGATATTGGGGTTTTTAGTTTTTACATATTTTGATATCTCTACTTTCAAATTTTATTAGTTTTAGTTATACATAGAGTTCGTTGCTATGACGACATACGTGTACGAAATTCACTCCAAAATGGCCTATCGTCTCGTATAGTTGGAAAAGAAGCATGGTGAAGCACCGTGGGACGAAAAGCTAAAAATTAGCGAAATATAAAAAAATTCTGTAATGCCATTTTTTTGGAAAATGCGAAAACGTCGTACTCTTCGGTAAAATGTTTTTGGCATTACAGAATTTTTTTATTTTTTGTATAATGAAAGTTTTTAGCGGTGCAATACAGCATGCAAAATTTGAACATATAGGTCACCAGACAAAATAGAGAGATATAGCGCATTGCTTCTCTAAAACGGAAAATTCTAATGACGTCAGCAAGTGACATAACACGCTCTAGAACACGCGCAATTAATATAGTTAGAGCACTCAGCTGACGTTTCGCGCTATACAAAGAGCCCATTTTCAATTGTTAATAGACGAAATTCAAAATGCCATTTTGAATTTCGTCTATTAACAATAGACCTTTTGCCTGAATCGGTCACGTGACCCTCAAATTAACTGCAGAAAAAAAGAGCACCTAATGTGAATATTAGTATAACACTGGAAAGTTTCGGCTAATCAGTAGAATGCAATACCGAAGAAATGGCATTCAATTTATATTTGGAAATTTTCTTAAAATTTGTATCATGGGAAAATGCTCAGGGTTGTTAAGGTGGAGTTACACGAGCAACAAACTTGCTGCAACTTGCAACAAAATCTGATTTCAACGCATGTTAAGTAGAAATGTCGACACAGTCATGTTGCCTTGTGATTTGTAATTTATGTGTAAACATTTTCAATTAACATGCGTAGAAATTAGATTTTGTTGCAATTTAAGTTGCAGCAATTTTGTTGCTCGTGTAACTCCAGCTTTAAGATGGAATATATTTCGACACAGATGCTCGTTTTAAGGGAAATGGGATCACGTGACCAATGGATGCAAAATGGCTATTAATTTGAACTGATAAACTAAAATTAAATCATGGGTATCCAGGCATAGATGGCGTTCTGGTACATATTTTTTAAATTTTCACATCATCAAAAGGTTGCAGACGACAAAGTAATTAATTAAAATTAGTGAACGGACTATGTAATTATAATGCGATAATTTATTAAAACTTATGATGCTGAATCATTTCCAAGTCACTGTATCCAAAATCAATGAAGCAAGAATTGACCCAATAAAAATATATAATCGATAAATAATGCCAATTCGTATTTCTCTGTGTTGAATAAATTGGTCTCCACAAACTATCGGCTGTATTTAATTAGTAATCTTTGTTTGGCTTGCCTGAGACTACTTTGGCAATACATTTTGCAGATCGAAGTCCTCACTTTTGGCATACATGAAAAAGTAGACCACTATATAAAAAGGACACGCTAAAACAGTAGTGTTAATAGTCAAAGTGGGTCGTAAAGGATAAAATTGGTAAGCTAGGATTTGCCTATATTTTTTCACTGGGAAAATGGGATTTGGACGACTGGGAATGGGATTTGCGACACCAATCTTGCGTCTGAGATTGGGATTTAGCAAATCAGTAGGTCAAGTGACGGAAATTTAGAGAAAATTGTGGCTGGGTAATGGGATTTAACTCCCCCCATGCACTCCTTTCTTCATGATCCTCTCAAAGACGTACAGTACGTTAGTATATTCCCAGTATTGAAAACATGCATGTTTATACGAATATGTCGAGTATATATACGACATATACCAAACTGCGACATGCAATTACAGATTACATTGACTGTAACATGAGGTGAACTAATAAATATACAAACGCGATTCCCACCGTGGCCAGGCACATTGTTCAAGCTTGCCCGGTGCGGATACATACACAGAGTAACATCACAAACATCATATTCACCTGAGTACACAACACCAACACAGCAATTCGTGAATAAATATGTAAAAATAGATTAATTAAAGGTGTATCCAACTTTGTTCAGTGCGGCAATTATCCGGCATGCAGTCATTTTAGTTTATTACAAATTTCGATCTGAATGTTGCTACAACACCACAATGGCGCGCATGCAATAATTGCAGTTCTGTAGACACTGATTTGGTGTAAATATTAACACCATTTTTGTGTCAGTATTTACACCCAATGTGTTATAGGTGTTCCAATACACTTATTTATAATTATATGGGTGTAATTGTAACATTTACATTAAATCAGTGTTGCAATGATTACACCATTTTGGCGTTGTAGCAACGCCCATAAATTTATAGAGTGCAGTATTAAGGCCTATTAATAAGGGATAATTCCATCTGCAGAAGATATTTACACATGCAAGACAAAGACGTGTATCTTTTCAATCAACTGCATAAGTATAGAACATCGCTAATAGTGCAAGCATGCTGAGCCAGGTAGGATAACAGGAACTACGCGTGGAATATATCTTTTGTTGTTTTGAGGCGTGTTTCGAGTCATTTAAACATTGTAATGTTTATACACACTGCATGGGATATGATAAAGGCTTAGCATTTTGTCCATTATAATTCATGTACTGACAATTAGCTTAACTTTTTAAATGTTGTCGATGGCTCGACCCCTGCCTTTTTAATCAATTTTAAACAATCACAAAAGCTCCTAAATTCATTATAAGCGAGTTGTAATTCATTCCATTTAAAAACGTTATTACGTGCCGCGATTCGATCACTCAAATAATTATAGTTGTCGGCTATTATATAGCTCAGCAATCAGCTAACAATCAAGAATTACACTATATGCATGAGCAGAATTAAACAATACAAAAGTACGTACTGTACATATGAGTATACATGTATGAATTAATAATTAAACCCTTTACAGGGTCAGTATACCTGTATACAGTACGTTGTTCTGTTCAAGATCTACATGTAACAATACGAAATATTTTTGCCCTCAAGCTACGCGGCTTCCTACTGTATAGCATGCACATGCACACTCACAATTGTCACTATATAATTAACGTTGATTTTTACATAAAAAATAAGAGTTTGAATTTTGAACATTGGTTCACTTTTTTCTTATTAAATTCAGTATGATAATATATGCGGTGTGCAGTACTAATAATAAAGTGCATATACCGTCTGCTGGATGTACCCAACATCAATGCGTCATATAACATACGTGCAATTGCTGTACAATATACGATATACAATAACGTTAACGATTTCTATATATATAGCGCAAATTTACATGTGGATATGATCAAATGCGCTTTACATTACGCTTACCTAATTACATTACTTAGCCTATAGAGTACAGACTATATATTTTATCTTCACAACAATTCTGATATTACTTTCTTAACTGTGTTGCCTGTTGGTTTATCCAAACCCAACCTGTCAACTTTCCCTGTTGGAGAAAACCCACGACTTGCGGCAGAGCGTTGACTCTTTCCACATGAGTCCGCAGTGAGAATATATCGATCCCACGAACTTACATGCAATACTCAATAGAGGTGAAAGGCGCTTGCTTTGACGACTACGCCACCGAAGCCCCTCATTACGTTTGCCGGCGATCTCAACTATAACTCATGCATTCTTTAGTGCATGGAAACACAGAAACAGCATGCAAGACTACATTGCAAAGAAATCGGTTAAGGCTTAGTAGATTAGTTTATCCACGGTTTGCCTGTCAGACGCCGTACATTAGGGTAAAATAAATATTCGCACATGAACACAGCGGTCCAAGGAACATACTGCTGGGTGTAAATTAATAAACCGACTTTGTAGTGTCCGACTACCTGATTGAGATTCATGAAGTTTTGGAATGGGGAAGGTAGATGTTTTATTTTCCCAGCATCCTTTTTAATGAGGTACAATTAACACAATCAGACTAGTTTTAATACAAAGACCGTCCTAGCTGTTCGTGTTGGACTTCAGACTGTGAGAAATTGTAAGGGAAACTGAGTTTTCCTTAAAACTGTCACAAAAGCAATGGTGTCCTATGCCAGTAAAAATGAACAAAAGATGATTAGCACTGCAAAAGGATAACACCTCATGCTGACAAAATAATTTAATGCGGCTAGTATACTAAAACCATTCTCATAACAATTTTACTGATAGAGGCAGCATTTATTCTAAAATTATACAGACATCACAGTTGCCCACAACATGTATAAATTGCAGTTGCCAACAGTTCCATTCCAGTTCTATATATATATATATATATATATATATATATATATATATATATATATATATATATATATATATATATATATATATATATATATATATATATATATATATATATATATATATATATATATATATATATATAGCTATAATTCTACCCATCTTTGGATTTCTTTAGAAGACTTAATGCAGTATACTCAAAACTGACTCTCAATGACCGTTGTGGAAAGATAGGTAGCAGTTTAAACCTCATCAGTCTGGTGAGTCTATACGTAATAGCCAGTAGGCCTACTATTCAAATCCTTCAAATCCATGCAGTTGACATGGCCATGACCATGGAGAAAGGGCAAAGGCAGGCATTTAACCAGGCGGCCGTCCAACCGTCCTATGGCTATGGACGGCCATGTTTACTGTTGTTCCAATTGAAGTGTTCCTCAAATATTGATTCAATACATTACCTCGGGCTGACCAATTCATTTCATCAAGTTCCTCGAAATATTCATACACTTCCTAGTATAATTTTAAACTTCCTGTTGAATAGTTTGAATGCACCAATCACCTTTGTTGTTTATGCAACTAACCAATCATAAATAGAAAGGAAGTGACCAGAAATGATCAAATACTTGGAATTGGCTCTTTCACAGGAAGTGTATGAATATCTCGAGGAACTTGATGAAATGAATTGGTCAGCCCGAGGTAATGTATTGAATCAATATTTGAGGAACA